GAATCGAACATCTCCAAACTCACCGTCGTAAATTCATTGTTCTGTTTACCATATCCGGATGCAACTCTAGAGAAATAATTGTGTTAAGCAAATAGAAAAGGGAGCGCCCTTCCCAAGACGCCCTGCAGAGCTTCATTTGTCCACTTGATCACTGCAGAATGAAATGATGTTTAACATATCTACATTGATAGTGTCAGTGTCATTCAACCACACCCACAAGAAAAGAAAAATAAGGGCTTCCTTTAGTGAACCTAGATTCCCAGATGGTACATAGTGTGTTCCAAGACCAACAAACAATGCATCTGAAGGCGTTGATATCCTTTTCCCAGTCATTCCAAGATAAGCACCTCAGAACTATGAAAATGTGAATGAAACAGATAAATACAACATAGAGAGCAGAAGAGAGCAATAGAATTAACTGGTATTTGTGCAAATAGGCACTGACCGTGTGCATATATAAATTTATCTTTATATAGCAACAGTATAGCAACAACAAAAAGTTCCTAAAGCAATTACAAGATTAGAAATAACCCTCCCACTTCAAAGCCAGTGCTTTTGGTTTAATTATTTGCATCCTATTACCAATCGTTTTTGCAACTCTTGGAGATTCGTTTAGAGTAAAAAAACATACCAACAGAACTCCTGGGTTTGTGCTGCTATATATGAAAAGCCAACGTCGGGAAATAATCCAATTCCATTTTCTGGCATTGCAAGAACAGTCCTCTGACCCAACTATGTACCAAAGTAAAATGTTAGATAAAGAAATTGAGAAAGATATTATAATTTAAAATGCCAGACAATATTTCTCTGCACAGCAAGGGGATCAGTTTGCACCTCAGTTATCACTCTGTAGCGACCATGGCCAGATAGGCCAATTCCAAAGCCCATTGTTATGCCATCCATGAATGATATATAAGGTTTCTTGTACTCTGAAATTTTGCATATTAGAGAATACTCTGCCGCGTAGACCTGAAAAATAATAACAATGTTATTAACTTCGAATGACTCGGCATATGCAAGACGCGGAGTGATGGAGCAGTAATGAGAACAACATAGCATAAACAGATGACTCCATACTAAGGAATGATATAAAAATAACATTATGCACATATGATGAATCATCCAAACTATAAGCTGGTCATGGCTGGCTAGAACAAAACAACATATAGCTTGCAACCGTGGATATAATAAAACCTAACATGAACAAATACAGCAAAGTTTGCAGGAAACGTGCAGATGAAAGGAAAGCAAAACCTTGGGAACAAGAGGTGTGTTTCTGTCCTTTTGGATTTCAGCAACAACGCCTTTAATATACATTCCTCCAATAACCGTGAATGGTTAGACCCAAAGAATTCACATAACACTTGAAATGTTAAAAATAGCCAACAAGGATATTTCTCCAAGTATCTTTGTCCAGCAAAAGAAGAATTAATATTTCTCCAAGTACCTGCACAAAAGGCACGCGGTGAGCTGCCCTCAACCAGCACAAATTTGACCTTAGGATCCAATTCCCATTCTTCAAGAATTTGTTTGTACTTGATATCCATATCTGTATTTATCAAAATATACACATCTTATCAACAAAACAGAGCCACAAACTACTGATTCGTATCTAGAATGCAAGACAATGTCACAAAAAAATCACACTAACAAATTTGTCCATTAGTTCTTAAAAAGGGCTAAATCTTGCGGATATCAAAAAGATTCTTCTTTTACCAGGATATCTTGTAGATCACTTACAAGCTTCCTTTTTTTTTTTTTTGAGTAATCTAGGGTAAGTAAACAATACATGTTCAAAGATAACTCTAATCTATTTTACATTGAATTACACACCTGGCATTCATAGTGCTCAAACCCAGGACCTCAAGGAATAACAACAATTCCTTTACCGCCGAGTTCGTTTAGTTCATGCCACTTACAAGCTTCCTTCAATATATACTCATATCAAAACCATATGTTCTCTTCATCCGCTTACTTTCCTTATTTTTACCCTGACTAATTTTGACAGCTTTAACCCTACATAAATTTCATCTTTACAAATCAAGGACAATTTTCGTAATTTCAAAATCGAGCTCATAAATCAGTCTTCCTCGCACAATAATAGCTGAGACATAAGTTATTCAATTCGAACTCACTTTCATATCAAGCAATTTAACTCATACAATAATGAAAAAATAGAGGAAAATTTAAACGGATATGAAGGAGAAAAAACGGAAGAACCTAAATTCATGGTGTTAAGTGCTTTGGGACGATCGAGGGTAATGATTGCGACGCCGTTGGGATAAACAGTTCCCTTAACAAACTCTTCAGCTTCAGCCATGGTGGATAGCTTTCGAATTCGATCACTGCAAGCAAAGAACCGGCGGGAACGACGAGCTGCGGGATAGCCACCGATAAAGCAGGGTTGTTTGGTAACAAGAATAGTGTAATCTTTAATTGACGATACGGTGGCAGAGTGTAACACTGAAAGGACGAATACTTTTCCAAGCTGAACTGTATCTGTTAGCGTCCGGCTCGGCAATTGGGTTGGTTGATAATTATTTATCCACTTTTCTTGTGTAATTGGGCCGGGCCGGCTCTGGTTTAGGTTGAAACCCTCTTGATGTATTGAAGTAAAGTTGGGTTCGAAGATTGACCATTTGTGCTGCACAACATAATTTGTTCAAAGAGCATCTAAAAGCCGGTTCATAGTATCTTTCCTTCCATGAACATTTATTTATTCGTTTTCGTTGTCTAGATATAAAACATAACCAGATTCTAGGCATTCAGCAGTACTAAGTACTCGGGAGGAATGTAATGAATAAAACCATTCTAGTTTTGATCTGATGAGATCCCATCAAACTCACACTAAAGAATAATAAAACAAATATACATTCATGCTTGTCAGCCTTGATTCAGACCGTCTCGTTGTGTTAAAAGACGAATGCCTGCTTCGATATCTTCTAAGGTTATGTTACGCAGTTCGTACAGTAGAAATCGAGCCTAAGATCAAGGTTCTCCCTGTCATTAACTAGCACAGGGACGACTAAACTGCAAGAACTATGCAACTTGAATACATAGAATAAACTTGATATGATCTTGGCGAGGTCTTCTGAGTTGGAGTTGCAAAAATGGAAATATTTCGTAACTCTTCTGCAGAACCCTTCATTAGAAGCGATCACACGCTTCATCGGTTCGCTATACCTGGCAAATATGACTAAAATTTTTCCACTGTCCATTACGGACTTGATCTCTTCCAAAGCCTCCAAACATAGTCTTTATTGTCTGATTTTTGCATCGGTATTAACCGATATGCTTCATCGACGAAAAGGGTTCCTCCCTTTGCTTCTTGGATCTGCATGAACAGTCATAGATCAAGGAGAGGCACGAGGAAACACCTTTCTCCTCGATTTTAACCCGGTGTGTCCTCGATGACGAAATCAGTCCTTTGCACTTTTGTTACCTTGTCGGTAGGTAGAATTCCAACATATGAAGTAATTTCCCAAGAATCGAGCTACCATGGTCTTACCTGTGGAACATAATATTGTCATTCATACTAACCAAGATCAAAACAAGTATAAACCAACATGTTTTCGGTAATCTAGATCACCAAAAGACAAGTAATCCATTTCAAGACATAATACGATCCAATAGCTTTTCCGGTTCCGGGATTGCCAAGGAATGCCATATGAGGAGTCTCTAGCACCGACTTTCAATCCAAGCACCCAGCTTCTTCATCCAAGAGCATCCCCTTTGCCCATTTCCAAAATTACTTTGAGCTCATGCAAGCCCACAATATTTAGCAGTTCATCCATCTTAGCCTTTGTTTCACCACATGCATCAAGTTCATTTTTTATGGATAAATTACATTATTCATCACTCAACTATCTTCTCCTTCTTATTTTGGTCATTGAAGTTAAATTTTTTAAAATTTAATTACTTAACTTTCAAATTACTCCTAGTTTAAACACTCTAGCTTTCAAATTTAGTTTTAATTATATATTAATTAAATAATAATAAATAATGTCATGTCACAAATTATTAATAAAATAAATTAGAGTGAATAAAACAAGAGCAATTTGAAAGTGTTAATTGAAATTTTTTAAACTTTAGTGACCAAAATAGGATGAAGATAAATAAAGATGAATAATGAATTTACCAATAAAATGCCACGTACAATAGTTCATTTAAGTTTTTAAATATCAAAATAAAACTTAAACTAAACATTAAGTATGATTTTAAAATAAAATAAAGTTTAGGTACCAAAATAAAACAACAGTAATAATTTAAGTACTAAATATGTAGTTTACCCATATTATAATTATATATGTATAGATTTTATTCAGATATATATTTTGGTATACAATTTAATTAGATACTGTAATGCATAAATGTACTGTTTCGTTACTGTATTCGTAGAAAACAATGAACTAAAATTCCTGAAAATTATTTAGTTTAATTAACAATATACTTAACAGTTGACTGATCGGGAACAACGAAACCACCATCAGATGGAGTTGGTTATTTTAAACTCTGAAGGAGCTGTGAAAAAGTTTACGAAACCAGCAAGGTACGTGGATACAACTTACAAGACTTTCTGCTGAGGATTGCAACGACATGTAGCATTCGGGCTGATTTATGAAGATGCTATTTTAAATTCAATCATTTGATGAGTCTACAAGCACAAATAATTGAAGAAAAAAAAAACAGATACATTCATAATTAGGTCTACAATTATGGGTCACAGTCACAGGTGAAAAACATTTTATGAAGCATTGTGCTAGGCTTTGAAAACATTTTCAATTAAGATTAAAATAATACATGGTAATCTAACTAGATAAGCATCAAGCTAGATTCAGTTTAGTCAACCACATCAAATATAGTTATTATCAAAATATGCATCGATTATTAATTTACAAGTATATCAAAATTATATTTAATTACAATTTGAATATAATTAAAAGCATACTGATAGTTTAAAAAAGAAATTAACAAAATGAAAAAGCATTAGTGAACGGAAAAGAGGTCATCAGATAGGAGCGAAAGACTAAAACAGTTTCATAATCACGGAGATTATCAGCTGAACTATGCATTTTTCAATCATCGCTTGACCTCTCCATTCGAAAAATTATGATGACAGCAAATAATCATTTTAAATTAAAAAATGAGAAAAACCTCAGAAGGAAGGCAGTAGAGGTATATGTAATCACTAGTTGTCATAAATTACAATAATACCAATTTCTTCATCACCGGCAACTACCGAAAACTTTAAACATTTTTACGAAAAAAGAAAATAAATCAAAATTGAATCAATCGGCCTCATAGAGAAGATTAGACGTTTCAACACGAAATTTTCAGACATATGCTTGTCATTGAAAATATTTAATCATCGGCCGATCTTGAACCAAAATCAATAGCTAAAACTATTCAAAACATGAATAAAATTGAAATAAAAAAGAGGGGGCTCGGAATATGGGTGGTGATATATCAGGATGGTCGGCAAAGGCTATTGAAACAGCCATTTACGACGAACGAGACCTTTCTGATAGAATCGTCACCGCCCCCATGATCATTTGCTTTGAAAAAAATTGGATAAAATATTAGAAAACAAAAGCGGCGACTAAAGTTTGTAGAGAACAGACGAGAGGAAAACATAAACCCTAGAAGAAGAATAACGCAGCTCAGATCTATAAGTATAGAGGCGAAGCCTATACCGTTGTTGTTTATGAGCGACCAAAGAGTACTTTATATAGAGACTTGAATCAATCGAGCTAGGGTTTTGCAGGAATTGCGAAACAGAATGCTACTTTAAATGGACCTGAAGTCATTTTGTGTTTCAATGGGCCTGAACCAGGAAAGAAAAGACAGGGTAAGTAAATCAAATTTTTTCTTAGATACCTCTAAACATCTAGAGTAGTATAAGAAAATATAATCATTTAAACAATTACATTTCTTGTAATTATGATAAATTATAATTAATTTTATATGAAACTCATTGAACGATTCAGTGATAAAAAGAGGTATTGTTTTTTAGAGGTCTCGGATTCAAATAATTGTGTGTGCATGATATATGTACATTATCAATAATTAAAAAAGAATTTGAAAAGATACTAGCTTAAAATCGTTCCATTTTTAAAAAAAATAATTTTATATGTTGGTTGGTAAAAGTATAATTGTACATAAAATAAAAATTAAGAAGGAAAAAAAACTGAATTACAAGGCTGATGAATCATTCAAGTCAACTATAAAAGTATTAAATTCGATTAATTTGCTAAGCCAAGTTATTTGTACTCAATTTGATAATATGATTGAACCAAATTCAAGTCTTTCTCTTTAACCGAACGGAGTAATTTACAAACACAAATGTATTGTTTAAGAACCCTAGTTGGAATTTTGTAATAACGGTGTTGTTCTAACAGTTGGAAGAAGAACAGACTACAACATCAAACACCAACCAGGCATCTGGCTAGTATTTTCGACCAAACTTCATTTGAAGAGCAAATGTTTTACATTCTACGTGAACATGCAACGTTACATGTGCCACCAGAATCAGGCACACAACTAACAAATCTAAAATCTGATCCTGTATTACCAACACGTCCATTGTGCGGGTTCTCCGATGATTTGAATCCGAGATCAGAGAAAATAAAACCCTACAACTGCTACGTTAAACTTAGCTTCTGTCGGATCTACTTCTTTCAAGAGGCAAACGTGTGTCGAGTGTTGACAGGATCTGGGGCATGGACATCCCTCCCGACACGACGATTTCTGCAATGGAAGAATATGAATGAGACGTAAGCCTAAACTGTACAGAACACCACCAGTGAAGACTTTATTTTTAAAAAAAAAGTACTCGTCGTGTCCAACACATCTAAACATGAGTGGTGACGTAACCGTGCAAATAGATATCCATATCGGATATTCACACCCGAGCTCAGTAACATAGATTACCACTTCACAACAAGAGAAACCATCCTCAGGTGAAGTGGCAATTTCAAATCCCTCCCCCGTTTAATTATTTGCATATGTAAGTAATAACAAAAGAAGCTGATCTCTCACCGATTCCTTCACGGACTGATAGATTCGGTCTGAAAACATCCTCAGTATTGATAAGGAATATATCACCAATGTAAAGATGATTCGTAGGAACATAGACACAACATAGCTTTTCTTCACCGGAGTAGCTCTGCATTTCAAAATCAGAAGAATAAAAACAGCACTCTCGATATAATAGAGTCTGCTATGAAAGTGAAACAGTAGTCGAGATACCAAATTCCAGTGCTAACTATTTATAGAAAAGAAAAGTAGATAATTAGAAGCAATATATTTGATGCGGTATGCAAATCCTGTTGAGTTTCAGTTGGGACGATATGAAATTGAATGTACTCAATAAGGTTGGGATAAAAACAGAGAATCAGTAGCTACATGTCGGGGAAAAAACCCCCCCCTCAAATTTGGCGAGCTCGAGCTATCAAACGAACCAAACTCAAGTATCCTATTTTTTAATTTGTAATTAAGTATTGAAAAATCTCAATTTGAACTCAAGCTTGAGCACAGGTAGTCAAGTTTGAAACATGGAATACTTTTTTGATGCATGGGAATTGAGCTCTTCGTTTACCATGTAAATGAGCTTAACAAGCCTAATCAAGCAAACTAATGTATATTGAATCGAGATCAATCATTAAAGTATAACTCAATCAAGCTAAGCTTGTAACAAGTTGAGTTTGACTCAGCTAGATTACACCCTAGTGTGCATTCATTTCCTACAAGAATTTCATGGGAGAAAGAATCAAACGACTGGGCAACAAGCAAGCAGTACCAAAAGTTTGGTCCGGAAAAAAGGTCATGTGGAACATGCATGCCAGTAAATAACAAAAACATGGGAAGCCAAAGTGATAGTGTTGCAACAAAAGCTTGATTTGCCCACCTGCAGAGTAACAGATGAAGTGATGAACCCAAACGCGTATTCACCAACACGTGGATGCCTTATGATGGCTACTTCCTTGAAGGCCTGTGTGTTCTGATCTGAAACATAATAAATATGAAGGTCATAAAAAGTGATGTAGCAATATAGTGTCATCACATGAACCAATTTCAATAACAGGATCAGCTAAGTTAATTTATTTCATGTGGAAGAAGATAAAAACCTGGAGATATGGCGGAACTAATTTGCTTGGAAGCATTGTAGATATGTCGAACAAATGGCATCCGCTTGATAAACCACTCACCAAGGTTCAGGACAGATGCTCCCAACCAAGATGACATGAACACCCCAATCAAGAAGATGAATGTTAAAGAAGTTATAAATCCAAGACCTATCAGGGAAGCAGACATCAATAAACCTGTTAGTTAACCAGATGGGATATACTCAGGAAGGAGAACTTTTAGTAACAATGGACAGATATTAAGATACATCCGTTAAACTGGTAAATCATTTGCAAGGGCCTTCAGGAAAAACCATTCTAGCTTTTTTGCCATACATATCGTGTTCAGCAAGATAACCTTTAAAGATAGTAGATGCCTAAAAGTGAAATCTCAAACAAGCACTTTGTCCTACACTAAAATCCCTTGAACAAAGATAAGTATTTATTTGTTTCCATACCATGAAAATATGGTTCTATGGAAATTTCATGTGAACAATAACATAATAATTAAGCTAGTGCCAGCACAAGAAAAGTTTATGCAAAGAGCCAAAGATGATTGACAATAAAAATGATTCCTCCCGTCCAGAATATCATCCAGGCTCTCACAATAAACACTGCTATTGGCTACAATCTCTAAAAGTTGCAGACACTACAATCCTCATCATTCATAAACCTTCAAGAAAGAGAGAAAAATGTTTACAAATTCATAGATCAAGGCGGGAGGGGGAATAAAAGCTTTGAAACAATGAAAGAAATTCACATGTTTAGATGGAAAGAGTAAAGAGGTTTTTAGCTACTTACTAATGAGATGCTTACCGAATATATCAATTCCAAGTTGAACATAAATTGGAGAGAAAAAGCCATCCACAAAGTGAATAAACCACCATGTTATGTAGACTGTGACAGCTATAGGAAACAGAATGACGCTGCAAAAAACTAAGAATCAACAACTGCTATAACAGCAACGCAAATGACTATCAAAACTCTATAAGATATGATGCTATAAATATGTATATCCACTACCGGAACCATAAATTTGAAATTTCAAGTTAAACTAATAAAATGTCAAAAAGTCATGATGGAAAGAATCCCATTTTGTAAGATCATATATAAGTAGCAGTCACAAACCAAGCAACTTCGGTAGTTAGAGAAATGTTATTATTCCTTGAAGTCCCGGGTCCGAGCACCAGGAATGCAAGGGGTGTGAGCAGAGTTATCTTTGAATAGATACTACCTTATATTTACCCTAGATTAATCAAATATATAGCAGAGGAATTTCAAGACAGCCAGCAATTTTAGAAGATAAATAGCATATGGTATTAATAGGCTAATAGCTCCCAATTTTCTTCATCAAAATTAAAATCCTAATTTATCCTTTAACAAAGAAATTTAAATATTTGGATCCCATATATGTAAGGAAAAACTGTTTTGCTTATGAGAATTCATTTTGTTGGCAACGGTAATTATTTAGCTAACAACTCTTATCTGAAACTCTGATTTTACTTAGCTATTCATGATACAACCAATTAATGATAATTTAGGAATAATCTTAAGCATGTTAAAATGACGTGATATGTCTCAACTATAGCCTGCCGCGAACCATGGAGATGTTTAGGTTTGATGTATTAGTGAAAGTATTTTCAACCATGATCAATGGTACAAGACAAGAAGCTAAATTGGAACATATCAATTTTTCCACAAGGAAATATCGTACAGGTTATAGTTACACAAATATCCACGAAGAGACCATAAATGTAGAGTATAGAGATGAAAGAATGGCACTTACCATCCTGTCACGAACTTCTTAGAAGCCCAACTCCTAAAAACTTTGTAAAAGGTCTGCATAAAACAAGGCTCGTCAAGCATATTTAAAAGCAATGCACGCACGTCATTACAGTGAGTTGATAGACAAGAACAAGCATATAGTTCCTATATAGGCAACAAACTGAAAACATTTAGGAGCCATGACTATTTTCTTCAGGACTTCACCCAATCCATCAATTCAGAAATATAATGTCATCAAGTCCCATAAGCAGAAGGGTTACTTCAAAACTATTCAAGTGCATTAGCAGAAGGGGTTCAATCATTTAATGCATCTATACAAGTTACCGAACACTCAATGTTATGGGCTTTAACATGCTTTCCACATCATTTTAAGCTTGAAAAAACAAACCAGATACATATGGTCCTATGGAAACCTGCAAGAGGAAAGGCGATCACTATCGCAAATGCAGGACCAATCTCTGTCAAGCATCAGTTGAGGTTTACCCCTCAAATGGTCTCATATTTTGATAACAATTTTCCAAAAAGAATATGAAATGAAGTATCCTTTCCTTAATTTTAACAGCTCCAGTAAATTATGCTCGACCCTCAAACCAAAAATTATGTCAAACATAAATAAATGGTTCAGTTTCCATAACTCTTCCAGAATCAATATTTCTCAATTAAAACCCGATCTGAAATATCCAACTACTCTACGTTAGCAACAAATTTATCCAAACAAAACCTCGTTAAGCTCCATTAGTTTAAAAAATTGTGATTGCAATCTTAAAATTAGCATCATGAACAGCTCAAGACCAAGTCAAACGAATTAAATAAGAGTTGAAGGAGTAATTTTAAAAACAAAAGGAAATGAAAACGAAAGAGACCTCTTGACCGGCTTGACGCGGGGAAGAGGAAGAAGACGGTTTAGAGGAATCATCATGGACGGAATCGGCGACCGGGATTAGAAGCTCAATATCTCTACTTGCCATTAGGATCGTCGATTTTTCATCTTCCATTACCACACACACACACACACACACAAAAACTGCCACTAATCCCTTTCTCAAAGATCAAAAAATCCCTTAGCTCGCTTTCAATCTTTCTTCTCTCAAAGTCACTTTTTTATAGGAAAAATAAAGAAAACGAGATTTACGAGCAGTTTAATCTCAGCATTTAACTTCTTTAAGATGGTGGAGAAACACTGGAGATGACTCCTTGAAATTTGCTCCCTTGGTTTTGGCTGCTTATTGCATTTCTTATTAAATTATTTTATTTTTTACATTTTAATTTTAAAGTTATTTATAAGGGCGAGTGTTAGTCTGTTTCAACGGCTTTTTAATTGTGCAACCTATCAGAATTAGTTGGTTCGGTTTGATATTGGGTTTAAATTAATTAGTTTTAAGAATGGAATTATTCTATTAGTTCGATAGGTTGCCAATTTATTTTAAATTTGATAATCGAGTAGATAGATTGGTTTGATCGTTTTTTGTACATTTATTTGTTTTAATCAAATTTTAAATTAATCGTTTAATTATTTTCATATTTTTTTATTATTACTATTGATACGTATTTAAATATTTAAAATAATATAATATTGAATTAATGTACGATCTGTATTACCAACTTATAGCCGTGCTCTCGGTCAATTGAACCGTCGTCTAGGAGGTCAAATTTGAATCAAAGACCAAGTCAAATTATAGTTGTAGGCGTGTGGGGGATTTTTCGAGGAAACCGTGGTGTTTTTTAGTGTTAATCGGAGGACGGATTGATCAAAGCCTAACATTTATTATTTTAAGGAATTTAAAGCTGATTAAAGTATATATATATATATGGGAAAATTTCTGGGTTGGTTTGAATCTGGCAGAATAATTGTAAGAGGTGTAATTATTATATAGGACGAACTACAGGGTCATTCAAGTATGGGTAAAATTATATATATTTTTTAATAATTTATGCTAAATATATGGGATTTTTTTAATGAATGTTGAACTCTTAATTTAAGAGAGATGTAAATTTAAAACTTTTAATCACTTGATTGATAAGTTGTTAAAAAATTTAAAAATGAAATAATTATTAACATTATTGTTTTTAAATAAATTAATAATTCAACCGTTAAAAATCGTAATAACAATTAAAGAATTTTGATGTGACTTGTTTGAGTTGACATTATTTGATCACTTTAGTATCCGGTGAAATTCTTGAAAAATTACCAGTGATTATTATATTTATCGATCTAACACTGATCAGATTATATTTTTAAATTTAACACTAGTAAGATTATATTTTTAGATTTAACACTAGTAGCAGTAAAGCGCACCCTCTGCCCCGCGCTATATGTTGATTTGGCGTCATGTAGGGTATAGCGCATCCCCTGCCCTGCGCTATACGCTGACATGGGTTACACGTGAGTATAGCGCAGCCCCTGATCCGCGCTATACGCCACATAGGGGTATAGCGCGGATCAAGGGCCGCACTATACCTGGTTATCTGAGACGTGAGGTATAGCTTGGTACAGGGGGCACGCTATACCTTTAATTACCACCCGTCCATACCCCAATCCTCCCTATAAATACCCCCATCCTCAATCACTTTCATCACACCAAATTCTCTCAATTTATCTCAAATACTCTCTCTGTTTAAGGTATATTTTATAATATTTTTAATATTATATATTTAATTTATTTAAGTATTTTACTTTATTTAATATTTTACTAATATAATTCTTTTGCAGATATATAATGGAAGGCAATCTATTTCGCTTTGATGGAAATCATATATCTCGACATTTTGCTGATACAATAACATTTTAACGTTTTCATTTAATTTAAATTATTAGTAATAATTATTTATTTATTTAATGCATGATTATTAGATTAAGAATTAATTTTTGTAATTATTTATTTTTAGGAGAAGGACCGTGTATTATATCCTTTTATTGGGAATCTTAAGTTAGTGATACCTAGATGTGTCTTGTCGTATTTAGTAGAGGCTAGATTTGGTTACATAGGTAGATATCAGGGTCATTGTAAGATAGAACCAGACCTTATTTCTGCCTTAGTAGAGCGGTGGAGGCCGGATACCCATACATTTCATCTTCCGTACGGAGAGTGCACGATCACGCTTGAGGATGTTTTTATGCACCTGGGGCTTCCGGTGGATGGAGATGTGATATCAGGGATAGCTTCCGGTTCTTGGACTACTTTGTGTCGGGATAATCTAGGACGTGTCCCGGAAAGTTTTATCGGAGGTAGGATACCGTTAAATTGGTTAGATGCCAATTTTCGGGAGTTGAGCGCAGACGCCTCTGAGGATGAGGTTAAGATGTATGCACGGGCATGCATATTGCAGTTGATAGGAGGGTTGCTGATGCCGAACAAATCGCGCAACCTAGTTTACTGCATGTGGTTGCAACATCTTAGCGACTTTCGTCTCGCCGGATCATTCAGTTGGGGCTCGACAGTTTTGGCTTTGTTGTACAGGGAGATGTGTAAAGCCACTGACTACAGGCGTAATGCTATCGGCGGATGTCTCCTACTGCTGTAGTCTTGGGCATGGTATCGATTGCCCTTTTTATGTCCCGTTGTGAAGAACTCATTCGTATTTACACTACTTTTGAGGTAATTATAAAACTGATTTTGTATATTAATAATTTTATACAACGTATAATAAATTTTTTTCCTTGAATATGTGGTCTAATGATAGGAAAAATCATCAGGAGCTACCTGATGATTTAGAAAAAATTAGGGTGCTAATGATCAGAAGGTTGGCACACAGGTATGAATTTTAATGTTTAAAAATCGATTTTAGATTATAGTTATATAATTATATTATTATTTTGATAAAAATTATATATTATTTGTTTTAGTTTGAGTGGGTGTCATATTCTACTGATGATGTGAGGGCGGTGATCCCACCTGAGTTGAGGGGTCTATAAGATGTTTGGATGGCGATGGTCCTTCTGATCTGTTATGCGACCGTCGAGTGGCACTCCACTGATCGCGTGCTCCGGCAGTTTGGTTGTTTTCAACCAATTCCGGAAGTACCTCGCAATATGGACGAGTTGCATAGCTTAGATAGACGCGGCAAGACAGATACAGATTGGCTGGTGAGGCATCATGAGTGGGTCGTGTTGTGGGAGGATCGACATCAACGCCTTCCACGTAGAGAGCCCATTTTTACTAACTTCTTGATGTATGTTGAGGATTATTATGAGTGGTTCAACAGTAACGGGAAACCGTTTCTACTTCTCGAGGATGCATGAGGGCAGACCTTTCCACGACGTCGATGGAGACATTCACCGACACAACACCATCGTCCCCCGACTCGTAGACGGAGATCAGCTGCTTCCGGTTCATCCTCAGCTGCACCAGCAGGACCTTCACAGCAGCCACCGCAGCCATTTATAATGCTGCAGCCATATATGATGTCGCCATCGCCTTTCCATTACCAAATACCGACGCCTTCACCTGGTTTTATGACCCCGCCGCCGCCATCGTCATAGATGACCCCTCCTGGAGGCTATTATGGGTCTATGTTTGCAGATCTGACTTGGGGTTCATATACTAGATATTTGCGGGTTCAGCCTCATCACTCATGGCCGCAGCACATACACCTCTTGTACAGTTTTCACACTCAGCGATGTCTGGGTTTTTTCAGTTTTCGCAAGCCGATGGGATAGTCAGTCATACACCTCCAGGGTCCTTATTCTATGGAGGTGATTCATCGTCATCAGCTCCTCATCAACCTAATGTACCTGCTCAGGACGACGACGACGATGACGACGACGACGATGATGACAGCGAGAGTCAGAACCAGTGATACGAATAAATCTTCCTCGAGATCGACAGCCACCGCCCTGCGGAACACATTCGCGTCGCAGACATCGATAGATTTTTTTATTATATTTATATTTACTTTATTTTGTTTAATTGTAATTTTTTATTATTTCTCATTTAATACTTACTTTATTTTGTTAAATTTGTTAGACTTTTTTTAACATATTTTAGTTAATTTTGTTTATTACCATTTAATATCAGTTATTATAATTTGGTTATCATTTACCATTTAATTCTTATTGTAATTTTGTTGTATTTAGATACCAAATTGTTATTAGTTTGATAAAATTTAATGATTGTGTTCATTTTTTTAATCTTCATCAGCGATTATCGAATGACATTAACTTGAAGTAAATGCAAATTAAAATACAAGAATTATTATTTGATAAACAAATACATCATTTCCTCATCATTTGTTACTTGATGACAATAGAAGTGGACATGTTTTTCTAGTGTATCCTGGGTTTCTACAATGGTCACATCTTATGTCTTGTCTAGATCTTTCTCGAATATCCATATCACAATGAATTCGATTGGATTTTGGATGACCACGCTCCCTCAATAAACTCGAATTTGGTATAATCGGAAGCCAATCTTGAACCTCATCAGGGTCTTTGTCATTACCTATGGGGGGAAACTCAAATTCGTATACCTTAAAAACTTCAGATAGTAGGTATGCGGGATCCACAAAATGGTTGTAGTCTTGACGTGTATGCGAGCAAGCTGCTATCACATGAGAGCATGGATACTTCAGAGCTTGAAAAACCCACAGTTGTACGTTCTGTCCCTTAGATTTACTCTTAACGACACAGCTTCAATCCCTTGAAGAGGTTGCGGTAACTCTGTGACACGAAACATTTCATGCCTTCTAGAGAAGCTTGTTACAGACATTTCATTTGATGCATCAATTTTTTTCTGTAGATCTGCAACTAATCTAGGGTAATAGACATGACCGCCTTGCATCCAGGTTTGAGCTTGTCCCCCGAGCTTCGCAAAAAACACCCCAAACGAAAATATGTAGTTTTTACCAAAGCCATTACAGGTAAGTGACATGCACCCTTTAAGGTTGAATTGATTGCCTCGGCCAAGTTGGTCGTCATGTGTCCATATTGATATCCACCATCATATGCGTTCGTCCACATTTCTTTATCGATGAGGCTGATGTAATCGTATCCTTCCTCGTCCTTCACCCGTAAATCTTGAAGCATTGATTCAAACGTTCGAGGAAGTAGTTCGTAACCTGATCAAAAAATGTATAACTTACTAACTTGCTTTCTTTGCAAAAATAAAACGATTGAAAGAAAACAAACTACATCAGTTTCATACCCAAGCGCACAATTAATTGACGCTCATCATTCTTCTTGTACCTTCCATGATAGTTCGCAGCAATGTGTCAGAGACAATACCTATGTTGGACAAAGGGTGGTTGCCACATTGGACCCAAAGACTCCATTGCTGCTTTGATCCCAGCTTCGCGATATGAAATGACACAGATGTTTTCCCTCGTGATAACATGTGCACGTAAATTTCGAAGGAAAAAAACCCAAGAATATGTATCTTCTCCTTCGACAAGAGAAAAAACAACTGGAAGAATGTTGCGATTGCCATCTTGAACAACTGCCAATAATAAAACTTGCTTGTATTTTCCATATAAGAAAGTCTCGTCGATCTGGACCACATGCTTGCAATATTTGGCAGCATTAATGCACTGTGGGTAACTCTAAAAAAACCTGGTATAATTGGCTTCGATCGCGAAGAACTCGATCATTATGTTATGCATAGGAGCTTTCAAAGTCCACAATTATCCCAGGATTCAACGTCCGCACCAGCCTAAACCAACCTGGAAGTTCGTTGTAAGATGCATCCCATTCACCATGAAGTTTGACAATGGCATTTTATTTTGCCAACCAAGCTTTTTTATAGGAGACAGTGTACCCATACTGCGATTGTATAGCTGAAATCAACACAGCAACAACTATATGAGAGCTTGCTTTTACCATGGGCATGATGGCTTGGCATATCATTTCAGAGTCCAAGTTGGGATGATCTTGGTTGACCCCTCCAACACAACATGTGTGAGGACCGTTGTATACTGTTAGTTCCCATATGTTGTTTTCCCTCTTCATTTTCGATACGTGAACAATCCAATTGCATCCGTTTTCGCGTCGGGCACAATAGTATACATATTTTTCGATCGTCGATCGATTGACTATGGACTGAACATAATTACGGATATTGTAATTTTTTATAGCCATCACCGTTTCTTCTTTGCTTGAAAACTCCATGCCTAAATATAACTCACCATTATTTATTGATGAGTAATATCCATGGTCACCGAGATGAGGCATATCCGCAAATTCTGGCCCGTACATTGCACTATAATCAGCTTCATACATGTGTGCATGAGGGTCAGTTTGTGCCACATTTCCTGGAACTTCATCTTCATCGGAGTTGAATTATGGTGATTCTGGGTGAATGAATAGTCCAGTCTCAGCACTATCCGCACTAGGCTCACGAAGCGGTTCTTCTGGTAAAGATGATGGTTCCTCCATGCTCTCCACATTTAGGTCAAAGAACCTACTACTTGCACGCTTTTCCCTTGAACTGTAAGGCATATCGACATTGACATCGAAAAAGCTCGTAGTCGAATGCCTCCCCCTGGAGCTTGAAGCCATCGTGTCAAATAAAAACTACACAGATGGTTGCATCGATGGCATCTCCATATGGTCAAAGAAATTTGCAGATGAATGCATTCCCCTTGAACTGGATGCGGTGTTGCCATACGGATTATTTGTGGACCTACCTTGGTACATATAATAAGGAGTTGCAGATGAATGTCTCCCCATTATGGAATTAAAATCATTACACATTACTGTAGTCGGGCTATCAACTTGATCAACTTGTTCAGCCAACCCATAGTGGGAGCTTAATGATTGACCCCGAACAGCACGCAATTGAACAAAATGTGCATACATATCAATAGCGGCGTCTAAATAATTACTTTGAGCTTCAACCATCATTTGAACATCATCATTGTTCGAAAGTTCGAACGCTGTATAAGTTAATGGCAACAATGATGTTGGAAATCTGTACTGCAATGACGACATTCTTCTACTACTTCCAACATGAATCTTCCTCGAAATCTTCGTTATCAGCTCCTCAAGAGTTATGTTTCTCTTGAATGATATTTTAACACGCTCATTTGATACAAAAACAACGCCGGTTTCATCTTCTCGAATTTCACCATCATAATAAACAATAGCTGAAAGTTGCGTCATTCTTTGAGTTTAAAAGTGCGGCAATATTATATTTGCAAAAAAAAATAACAAAACAAACCTGATTAAATAAATTATATATGAACGAAAATATAACACAATAATTTTTTACACATCAACGTAAATAATTTAAATAATATAATTTTATATTATTACATGCACTGTAAAACTATTTTGACGTATGCTCATGCTTTTTAAAAATTAATTGAAAATAATTAGTATAATATTTTTCAAATAATCATAATAAACAATAAGTATAATAAAAAAATTATAACGAAATTATAACGAAAAATCGCACGAACTTCTAAATCAAATATGAAAAATTACTAGAATTATTACCCGTTGATGGAATTGTTGTATTAATTTATAAGTTTAGAGGAGATATGTGAGGAGATGTGAGAAACTTAAGCGGGAAGGAAGGGTATTTATAACCATATAATGCGCGGTACCTGCACCGCGCTATATGTAATTATTCAGATAAAAGGTATAGCGCGGACCAGTGTCCGCGCTAAATATAATTCTTACCATGTATAGCGCTGAGCAGGGGCGGCGCTATACCGCTATACCCCTACGTGGCGTATAGCGCAGAACAGAGGGCGCGCTATACCCACGTGTAAGCCATGTCAGCGTATAGTGCGGTACAAGGGCACGCTATACCCCACATGGCATCAAATCAACATATAGTGCGAGGCAGGGAGCGCGCTTTACTGTTACGGGTGTTAGATCGGGAAATATAATCTGACCGGTGTTAGATCGGAAATATAATCAGACTGGTGTTAGATCGAGAAATATAATCTGACCGGTGTTAGATCAGGAAATATATCGGTCACCGGTGATTTTTCGGGAAAAACGCCGTAACGGTACAGTGTGCTATTTTTTAAAAAACTATTGAAATAAAAGTTGAGACGGTTTATTTCAGAAATTCAAAGTGCATTGTTACAGATCATTTGGCTTCATTTTAGCAAACATACACGAATTGCATAAACCTGGCTTGTTTAACAAAGACTTGAAGAATATGTCGATGGCTTTCCAAGAATTTCCCTCATTTGACTTCAAAGTTGTAGCCTCTGCAATTTGTATTTTTATATCGTGTATAATGTTATGTAATGATTGTGTTAATTAATATACAAAAATATGTTTTTTTATGGTATTAATATTTTAATTATTTTTTATATACTAAAATTGGGCGAGTGTTATTCTATATAATATTATCCGCCAAATTTAGTGTTTTTGTCTAAATGCAAACCCCTTGACTATTTTACAATTAGATTCCAAGTTCCCAACTAAGATATTGATAGATATTCCCTTTCGCCTGGCTATTTATATATGAAGGATAAACCCTATTTATCTGTGTTAAAAAACAGCTTTTGCTATTAGATTTTTAGTTGACAACAATCCAAAATTTCTCTTGAATAATTCCTTTTTAAGTACATATAATAATTATTAATCTATTGATTAAAATTTAGTACAAATCCTTATATTATATCAAAGTCTTTTAATTATAAAATATATATTTTTCTGTTCAAAATATTTTTTTATATTTTTAAAAATCAATACGTTAATTTTAAGAATAAATTATAAATTTCATAATTAAATTTCTATTTATTCTTATTTTTGTCTCTCCATCTTTACATTCTTAATGGTGTTATGATTGGATTTTAACAGACTTCATTGTCATGTCACATTTTCATTTACTATAACACTCAAGTGACTATAATAGAAACAAATCAAAATTTAAATCATAGTGATCAAAATACGAGTAAAAATTTGAAAGAAAAAATTCATTCAAATTTAAAATATTAAGATTATAATTAATTTTTTGACAAATTCTAAATCTAAACTTAATTATATTTCGAGGGGAGGAGACTTTAAGAAAAGAAAGAAGAGTGTTCCTTTGAGTCCAAAATTCATGAACTAACTAAATATAAAGAAATAAAAATGAATAGTTGGCCAATCAACTAAATATATTTATTCAATTTAAATAATTTTTAAGTCGCTGAGAATTCTGAAATTGAATTTTATAATTAGTAAGCATATGTTCAAACAAAACAAGCAGACTAGGTGGAGAGACAAATTCTATATTCAATCAAAATTCAAAATCTTCTCCACCATGTTACCACTTCTGAATTTATTTAAATTTATAAACCTGCATTTTAATATAATATCATGCCTTAGAAAACCTGCATCGTCAATTTGCAACATGCAAAGTAGAAAATGTGGTCAGCTAAGAGCAGCCTCAAACTACCCCCCACATTCGCCTATAAAAATTAAAATCTGTAATGCTTCTTCCATATGAAAACGCCTGTAGGAAAGCAATAAAATTCTGGGAAATTTGTGGGATACGATGAATCGATTAACGTTAATCACTTTAGTTCTTTTCTCCCTGTTTTTCCTCGTCCATGCACAATCTATCTCTAATCACCACGATGATGCAAGTTCCAGAGATGCTGTCTCTAATTTCCAACCAAGCCTCGCCATTGTCATCGGCATTCTCTGTGGCATGTTCGCATTAACTCTTTCCCTGGTTGCCTGTACCAGATTCTGCCGCCTACGTGGAACCACCGTACATGGTAGCGATCATCTCCCTACAAGTCTCCGTCGAACAAAATCTGGGTTCTCAGGTATTGACAAGAGAGTCATAGAATCACTTCCTTTCTTTAGATTCTCTTCGCTTAAAGGGTCAAAACAAGGGATTGAATGTTCGGTTTGCCTCTCGAGATTCGAAGATATCGAGGTTTTAAGATTGTTGCCTGAATGCAAACATGCTTTCCACGTTGAGTGTATCGATGAATGGCTCGAAAAACACTCGAGCTGCCCTCTTTGCCGGCGGAAGATCAACGCCAACGATCCCAAGACCTTAACGTACTCGAACAGCTTCCGGGACTTGAGGAATGGCTCGAATTCAAATATGGAGCCCAAAGAGGATCATCGTAGGTCATCAAGGTTCAGCATAGCAGCCAGTTTTCGAAAAATTTTAGAAACGGCGGCCGATACGACAGACAATGATCGCGACGATGACGACGATGGGAGGGTGTTTCATAAACTCAACGTCTTTTTTAAGAATCGGTGGAGCAATTTGAGTTCTTCAGACATTATCTTGTTGAACTCCGAGATGATTAGTGATATGTCGAGCGACATATTAGGCGAGTTTAAGGAAACAAAAGCGATTAAAAACAAGGAAGCTAACGGGGACTTCGAGATCAAAATCGAAACAGATTCAGCTCCTGTTGTTCCTTCAACATCGAGGGTTGTTAATCAAGGCGGCATTACTGTCTTAACGAGGTTTCGAGATGTTGTTACGAGAAATAGAACAAGTGAGTCGTCTTCATTGTCTGATAATTATACAAACGAGGAAACCATAAGGCAGCAATGGTTGGCGATTGCTAGAAGAACAATCCAATTGTTTTCCAGAAGATAAACAAGGTCTCAGAATTCTCAAATTCAGCCAATTTAATGCTGTTTCTGTTGGCAATTACGTTAATTTGCAGTAGTAATTATTGATTTATTTTTAAGACATTTATTGATTTAATGTGATAACACATCGAAACCACAATAACTGTCCTTTAAAATTTAGACACCGACACTGCAATTATTCATCCACCTAGCCCCTAGGTGTTTTGTTTTTCAAAACTTAGGTTGTACTTTGCCTTGATTTTCCAGGCTTCTCGCAGACAGTTGAGTTGAATTCAAGGCATAGATTTTTACTTTCGAATCTACTCGAGGAGTGATAATAATAAAAACTTTAATGATTGTATTACAAATTTTAAAAGTTTAGTAATCAAAATATCAGCATTTTAAAAGTTTAATAACCATTCATATAATGTATCCTAAAATATCAGCACCCTAAAACGCTCAGTAACCATTTATTAGTTACAAAAATTCTTGCTTTCCACTATTTATGTTTTTTTTCTTTTACCCTGAATCTAATATAAATCGTTCACTAAAAGCTTAATTTATATTTGAAATTTCATTTTAAAAAATATTTGATATTTTCCTTTTATTTTTTATCGATAACTACTCACATAATATGTGTCACGGACTAATATTTGATATTTTTTTAAAAATCATTCGTTATTTTTCACGTAATATGTGTCATGGGACTAATATATAATAGTTCTTTTAACTAATAATTAAAATATCAATTACTACATTTAATATCTTGTTATTATAAATAATTACTTTTTTAAAAGAATCCTAAGAAATACGTTGAAATATTTGTTTCTGGCTTGCTAAATTTGGTCCTTGGTTCTATCATAGGCTAATATTAGTTGAAGACGATGCCTTAAACCAAACTATAAACCAAATTTATAGGCCAACTCTTTTCTTATAAGATAATGTGTATAGTTTGGATGCCTTCATTACCTACCCTCCATTTCCTAAAACAATACTTTTTCAAAAAGGAGAAGAAAAACATCCCAACTCTCATTATATTATCACGTGTATTAATATTTTTGTTTTAATTCATTAAAATTTCGAATTTGAATTTCATTATATGTAAATATCACATGCCATTTTAATTCATATTTTATCTTGATTTAGTGTCATCATATAATTGTGTTTTATTTGACTCTTGTGACTGTTTATTATGTGTCATATGGGTCGTAACACTCCAAGTGATATCTTTATGGAGTGTCACATGATCTTTTTGTTGAAAATTGACACACCAAATTGCATCAAGTGTCAACATTATGGGTGACAATTTGGTGGCATTAATGAGGTGACAAAATTGGTCAAATTTGGCCATCAAATTGTTGAAAATTTTGGATGGTAAAACTATGCAATTAGTCATTGTAATTTAGGGTATTTACAAATTAGTCCTTAAACCTTCAACTATAAATACCCTAGCTCATTTAGTTTCAAAATCATCCTAAAGCATTCTAGCTTTCTTACAATACTAGAGAGAATTTAGAGAGTTTCTTGAGAGTTGTTTTCTCCTTTTTATCAAGAGAGAATTATCATTGTTTTCTCCTTGGTAGATCGAGAGAGGTTGTAATTCCTATTTTCTCATAGTGAAATTCTTCTACCGTTGCCCGTGTTTTTACCCTAAATTTTTTAGGGGTTTTCCACGTAAATTTTGTGTCTTTTTATCTTCATTTTTATTTTCTCAAATTATCAGTTGTGATTTTGCTCTATCCGATAGCCGTCTTTCGCAATAATTGGTATCAGAGCTAGATTAGAGTGTGTAATATCTGCTTATTGTCTTTGTGGTTGCCACCAAAAGGTGGATCCTCTAACATAAGAAAATAAGAAGTTATTACCCATTCTTTGAAGGTTCTAGAGAACTATTTACGATAGTGAAATAGTGAGAGCTATCCGTAGAAGAAGCTATGGCAACGAAATTTGATATTGAAAAATTCAATGGGAGAAATTTCTCATTGTGGAAATTGAAAATGAAGGCCATCCTAAGGAAAGACGGGTGTCTAGCGGCTATTAATGAAAGGCCGGTGGATTTCACTGATGACATCAAATGGAACGAGATGGACGGGAATGCTATGGCAAACTTTCATCTAGCATAGCAGATGAAATATTGTCAAGCATCGAGGAGAAGAAGACAGCTAAGGAGATATGGGATCATCTCATCAAATTGTACGAGGCCACATCGCTGCACAATAAAATTTTCCTTAAGAGGAAATTATACACTCTCGTATGCCAGAATCTACTTCAGTGACGGAGCACTTAAATACACTGAACACCTTATTTTCTCAGCTTACATCCTTAAGCTGTAAAATAGGAGAACAAGAATGTGCTGAACTTCTACTTCAAAGTCTACCGGATTCGTACGATCAACTCATCATCAACTTGACAAACAATAATGTCACCAGTCTAGTCTTCGATGACGTTACAGCTGCTGTTCTACAAGAAGAAAATCGGTGCAAAAACAAGGAAGACAGACAAGTAAATCTGCAACAAGCAGAAGCGTTGACAACGATGAGAGGGAGATCAACAGAACGTGGCCAAAGCAACAGTCATAAACATGGTAGATCGAAGTCGAGGAGCAAGAAGAATTTAAAGTGCTACCACTGTGGAAAGAAGGGTCACTTGAAGAAGGATTGTTGGAGTCTAAATAAAAACTCCAATCCACAAGGCAATACCGCAAACACTTCAGATGATGGAGATGCTCTATGCTGTGAAGCGTCAACCACCGTGGAAGGCAGAAAAAGATTTACAGATATATGACTCATTGATTCGGGAGCGACATATCACATGACTTCAAGAAGAGAATGTTCCATCAGGAGGATCTGTGTATAGTTGTAATGATCATGCCTTAGAGATCGTTGGTGTGGGAACCATCAAATTGAAGATGTATGATGGAACAATTAAAGTTGTTCGAGATGTGCGGCACGTGAAAGGTCTGAAGAAAAATTTATTATCCTACGGATTGTTGGATAATAATGCTAGCAAGATTGAAACACGGAAATGAATCATGAAGGTGTTCCTTGGAGCGCTTGTGGTGCTGAAAGGTGAAAAGATAGCTGCAAACTTGTACATGCTGAAGGGAGAGACACTGCTAGAAGCAGAAGCCTCTGTTGCCTCATGTAGTTCAGATTCTACAATGCTGTGGCATAAGAAACTTGGACACATGTCAGAACAAGGAATGAAAGTCCTTGTGGAGCAAAAGCTATTTTCAGGCTTAACAAAGGTATCACTTACTTTATGTGAGCATTGCATAACAAGTAAGCAGCATCGGTTGAAATTCAACACATCAAATTCTAGAGGCAAAAGTGTTCTAGAACTGGTTCACTCTGACGTATGGCAAGCACCAGTTACATCCCTAGGCGGAGCAAAATATTTTGTCTCATTTATTGATGACTACTCCAGGAGATGTTGGGTGTACCATATTAAGAAGAAGTTCGATGTGTTTTCAACTTTCAAAAACTTCAAAGCACGGGTGGAACTTGATTCTGGAAATAAAATCAAGTGTTTCAGAACAATAATGGAGGAGAATACACAAGCGAAGAATTTGATGACTTTTGCACGAAAGAAGGCATCAAAAGACAGTTCACAGTGGCGAACACTCCTCAACAAAATGGAGTGGTAGAGCGGATGAACAGAACCTTGTTAGAAAGAACAAGAGCAATGTTGAGGGACGCAAGCCTAGAAAAATCATTCTGGGCAGAAGTAGTCAATACCACCTGTTATTTGGTGAATCGAGCTCCATCAACTGCAATAGAGCTGAAGACACCAATGGAGATGTGGACTGGTAAACCAGTTGATTATTCAAACCTCCATGTATTTGGAAATATTGTGTATGTGATGTACAACGCCCAAGAAATTTCAAAGCTGGATCCAAAATCCAGGAAATGCAAATTCTTCTGAAAAAAGATAAACTACAAAGAAAAGAAGACGATGATAGCGCTGAAAAGTCAGAGACTACTCAGATACATGTGAAAAAAGAGTTTGAAGAAGGATATTCTTCTGAAGCAGAACCATCACATGATGAACAAGAACCAGAGAGTTCTGAAGCTCCAATAACTCGTCAATCAGATCGTGTGAGAAGACATCCCAATTGGCACTCAGATTATGTTATAGAAGGTAATATTGCATACTGCCTTTTAACAGAGGACGGTGAGCCATCAACATACCAGGAGGCAATAAACAGCTCAGATGCTTCACTGTGGATGATGGCGATGCAAGAAGAAATCGAAGCTCTTCATAAAAATAATACATGGGACCTTGTGCCACTACTACAAGGAAGGAAGCCAATTGGTAACAAATGGGTTTTCAAAATCAAGAGAAATGGTGACGATCAAGTGGAGAGGTATCGTGCAAGACTGGTGGTCAAATGATATGCTCAGAAAGAAGGTATTGATTTCAATGAAATTTTTTCTCCTGTGGTTCGACTAACAACAGTTCGAGTAGTCTTGGCAATGTGTGCTACATTGAATTTACATTTGTAACAGCTAGATGTTAAAACATCTTTTCTTCATGGAAATCTTGAAGAAGAGATTTATATGCTCCAGCCTGAAGGTTTTGAAGAAGACGAAAAGAAGAACTTGGTTTGCAGGTTGAACAAATCTCTGTACAGTCTAAAGCAGGCGCCGAGGTGTTGGTATAAGAGATTTGATTCCTTCATTATGTGCCTTGGATATAACAGACTTAATGCAGACCCTTGTGCTTATTTCAAGAGGTCTGGTGATAACGATTTTGTTATATTGTTGTTGTATGTGGATGACATGTTGGTTGCAGGACCCAACAAAGATCATATTGAAGAATTGAAGGCACAACTGGCTATGGAATTTGAAATGAAGGACTTGGGATCAGCAAACAAGATCTAGGGATGCAAATTCACCGAGACAGAAGTAATAGGAAGATTTGGCTTTCACAAAAGAATTACTTGAAGAAAATCTTGTCACGATTTAGCATGCAAGATTGTAAGCCAATTTCTACCCCTCTTCCTATTAACTTCAAATTATCCTCCAGTATGAGTCCTAGCAGTGAAGAAGAGAGGATGAAGATGTCTCGAGTACCGTATGCATCAGTAGTGGGAAGTTTAATGTTCGCTATGATATGCACAAGACCAGACATTGCACAAGCAGTGGGAGTGGTTAGTCGGTACATGGCGAATCCAGGCAAAGAGCATTGGAATATTGTAAAGAGGATGCTAAGATACATCAAAGGGACCTCAAATGTTGCATTATTTTACGGAGGATCAAACTTACTAATCAATGGGTATGTAGATTCTGACTATGCAGGGGATTTGGATAAAAGCAAATCTACTACAGGATATGTGTTCAAAGTTGCTGGTGGAGCTGTAAGCTGGGTTTCAAAATTGCAGTCAGTTGTGGCTACGTCCACAACAGAGGCAGAATATGTAGCAGCTACACAAGCCAGTAAAGAAGCAATTTGGTTGAAGATGCTATTGGAGGAGCTTGGGCACAATCAAGAGTATGTCTCTGTTTTGTGACAGTCAAAGCGCCTTGCATCTAGCAAGGAATCCAGCATTTCATTCAAGGACTAAGCACATACGAGTTCAGTACCATTTCATTCGTGAAAAGGTGGAAGAAGGAACGGTAGATATGCAGAAGATCCATACCAAAGACAACATAGCAGATTTCATGGCGAAGGCAATCAATGCTGATAAATTTACCTGGTGTCGATCCTCCTGTGGCCTGTCAGAAACGTAAGCAACATGAAAGGTACAAGGTAGAAAGAATGGTGTGAAGATATGATTGTTCCAATCAAATCTTCAAGTGGGAGATTGTTGAAAATTGGCACACCAAATTGCATCAATTGTCAACATTATGGGTGGCAATTTGGTGGCATTAATGGGGTGGCAAAATGGTCAAATTTGGCCACCAAATTGTTGAAAATTTTGGATGGTAAAACTATGCAATTAGTCATTATAATTTAGGGTATTTACAAATTAGTCCTTAAAGCTTCAACTATAAATACCCTAGCTCATTTAGCTTCAAAATCATCCCAAAGCATTCTAGCTTTCTTACAGTACTAGAGAGAATTTAGAGAGTTTCTTGAGAGTTGTTTTCTCATTTTTATCAAGAGAGAATTATCATTGTTTTCTCCTTGGTAGATCGAGAGAGGTTGTAATTCCTATTTTCTCATAGTGAAATTCTTCTACCGTTGCTCGTGGTTTTTACCCTAAATTTTTTAGGGGTTTTCCACGAAAATTTTGTGTCTCTTTTATCTTCATTTTTATTTTCTCAAATTATCAGTTACGATTTTGCTCTATCTGATAGCCGTCTTTCGCAACACTTTTGCAATGAAAAAAATATAATGAGATAATATTTTCGTTGAATTACTCTTGGAATGATCTGTTTCTTTTAAACGGTTCAATTGATTGCATAAAGATGGCCCATTCATTGATTGCAGAAGCACTTTTTTAGAAAAAAATGTAGGAACATTTGATTCATGATTGGCAGTTAACTAAATTACAATAAGATGCTTTGGAAATAAATGTTTTTTCTATTTTAATTAAGACGGTAGATCTTATAATTTTCATAATATTTTATATTAAATTATTTTTTATGGAATTGGATCAAATATATATTATAGAAGTTTATCAGATTAAAAATTGTGATAAAATCTATTTAAAAAATATTTATAAGATTAAAAATGGTATGTTTTTAAATTCTTATAATTAAGAAATATAATTTAAAAATAAGAAATAGTTATGAAGCTCTTTTGTTGTTGTTGTTGTTGTTATATGGCTTTATTTCTTATCTAATTGTTCAATCGTATGAACTTTATGCTTGATTTATTCTTCCTTTGAAGTGGATGATTTATCAGTTAAGCTTGTGGAAAAACTATTTTTTACATCGATTCTAATTTACCTGGTCCACTTTTGGCTTTCATTTCATAAACAATTAATGTTTTAACATGTTACACACTGTATATAGCTTAGCTACATTTATTGCTTTTCATGTATATTCCCATCTTTGTTACTCGGATTTTGACATGAAACACGGATACAGATATTTGCCTGGAAGGGGTATATTCCCTTCTATGTGAAAGAATTTGTTTTAAGAGGATGATCAGTATATTCCGCTTTAGAATGAACTTTTGCTTTAGATTATCATATTGTAAACCATTTTTATAAACATTCAACTGAAAAGAGGTGGTAATTTTAATAATTGATAACCTTAAAACATAATTCTCGACTGTCTTTGCAGGGTTGCCATAGATTCTAGTTTTCTAAATTCTTACTTTGGTAGAAAGCTCAACTAATAGCTTTCATTTCTTTTTTTGTGTTTAACTTTCCAGTGATGAGAAAGGGCTGTTTTATGCTCTTGATCTTGGTGGCACGAAGTTCCGTGTGCTACGTGTACACTTGGGTGGTAAAGAACACCATGTTGTTAAGCAGGTATTTGAGGAAGTTTCAATTCCTCCACATTTGATGACAGGATCTTCTGATGTGAGACCCTTCTCCATCTGACTTGGCAATATTTTATCCGGTCTATGATACTTCGTCTCTCTAAAACTCTCTATGATGTAATTGCAGGCATTGTTCGATTTTATTGCTTCAGCTCTTGCAAAGTTTGTTGCTACAGTGAATGAAGGTTTACATTTTCACCTGATAGACAGAGGGAGCCGGGGTTTGCTTACTCGTTTCCTGTTCGGCAGACATCAATATCGTCTGGGACTCTTATAAAATGGACAAAGGGCTTCTCAATAGATGATACAGTTAGTTCTAGTGACCTTGACTCCAATTCTTCAGCATTTTAGTAGTTTGTATATGAGGTTGCTAATTTTCTTTATCTTCTTTTGTCCACATTTCATGGAATTTGAACCTCGTCCTTGCCGTTATTATTGTAATTTTTTCTTTCGCAAGTCAAAGGCATGATGATCTTAATTTTCCACTTTTCCTCCTTAAAATCTTAATATTTTGTGCTACTAGTCAATGTTTGTGCAACTAAGATGTTCCATATTTGTACGGACAGATAAATTTATAGACATTTAACGTTTTAGTGAACAACCTGACCGAGGACAAGTTCTTCTCATAGATGGTCTGGAAGGCATACAAGTGATATTCAGAATTTTGTATTTCAATGACTTTTTTCTATATATTATCTCTTGGGGTGTGTATCGTATGATCTTAATGTTCCTCCTGGACGGTACTTGTAGGTTGGTCAGGATGTTGTTGGAGAATTGACCAAAGCCATAGAAAGGATTGGCCTCGATATGCGTGTGACAGCTTTGGTTAGCCTAATTTGCTTCCACCGTTGGCTGTGCTTTTCTGGTTCTTCATAGAGGGATGTGACTGGTTCTTTCGGATGATGGTTTTAGTTTATGTTCCAAATTCTCTTGTGGAATATGTAGGTAAATGATACGATTGGCACACTGGCTGGAGGAAGATACAACAACCCAGATGTTGTTGCTGCTGTGATATTGGGTACGGGCACAAATGCAGCTTATGTAGAGCGTGCCCATGCAATTCCCAAGTGGCACGGTCTTCTACCTAAATCAGGAGACATGGTAAGCGGTGTTAAGATATATGTTCACTTCTGTCAAAATCTGATACACACTTGAATCTTAATCAAGAACCTAACTATTACCTTGTGTTGAGTTCTGAAACCTTTTCTTCGTTTCTGCTGGTAATCAACATGGAGTGGGGTAACTTTCGGTCTTCACACCTTCCAGTAACGGAATACGACCAAACACTTGATGCTGAGTCTCTAAACCGTGGAGAACAGGTCACTTTTTTCAGCCCAAGTTTCTAGTTCCGACTTCTTATATTTTTATACGCTAGATGTGACTTTATTAACACTGTTTCCAGATCTTTGAAAAAATTGTTTCTGGTATGTATTTGGGAGAGATTGTACGTAGAGTTCTATGCAAGATGGACGAAGAAGCTGCATTTTTTGGTGATACTGCTCCAGAAAAACTAAAAATTCCATTCATACTAAGGTATGTCTTTATTACTTTAGCCGGTTAGAATTCACTAGGTGTGCAGTATGGTACTGTAATTTTTCCATGTGTTGTATTTTGCAATGGAACTTAGATTCGTGTAGCTTACAATCTCATCTTTTCTCAAATGTGAGCTTTGGTCGCAAACGCATCATTGGCTGACTGGTAAACCATCATGCTTGGAAGATAATAACAAGTTGAGCTGTAACCTGGCCCAATCTTATCCTGATCTAATCCAGTTTGGTTTATTGATTTGTGTGGTTACTGAATTTTAGGCAGCTTATATGTATTGGACCATGGTACTTGTTTAAGTGTGTTCAATTTGAATCCGTAATATAATCGTTTTGCAATTTTTAGTACAGCAATCTTTGACTTTTGGATGTGATGAGAACTGAGATTAGTTAACATTTATCTGTTGATTCCGCAGAACTCCACACATGTCTGCAATGCATCACGACGCATCTCCGGATCTGAAAATTGTCGCAGCAAAACTAAAGGATATCTTGGAGGTATAATACAGTAGATGTTTTACAAATATATAACGTTCTATAAATCATTTCGGTCGCTTTGCTTCTAGTTTCTTTGAAGGATAGAGGTTTTACATGAGATTTTATCATGTTAATTAACGGATTTAACAGATTTTTCTTGTGTTTTTGTTATCTTTACTTTGTTCTAATTTCAGATATCAAATACGTCCCTGAAAATGAGGAAAGTAATTGTTTAGCTATGCGACATTGTTGCTTCTCTTGGTGCCCGCCTCTCTGCTGCAGGCAGAAGTCAGTGGTATCCCTAGATGGTGGTTTGTATGAACACTACACTAAATTCCGGACCTGCATGGAGGACACCCTCGCGGAGTTGCTAGGTGAAAAGTCTCCAACAACATTGTCATCGAGCTTTCCAATGATGGCTCCGGTATTGGAGCAGCACTCCTGGCAGCCTCTCACTCGCAATACACCGAGGCCGATGAATCTTAAAGACGGACTAACAAAGTATATCAAAGAATCTAACTGTTGTGATTTTGTATATTTTCAGCTTTTGCAAACTAATTGCTATTTGCATCTACCGATCCTAAGTTATGCTCATTCGGAGTGTATAATCGGGTAATGGATCAAATGTAATGGGTGTCTGGTTGTAGCCGGAAGCTTAATGGCTCCAGCTTGTCACTCTACCCGATCCACTCACGGTGTTGGAGGATCAATATCGTTTTGTATAAGTACTGCCCCCCCCCAAGATAAGAAGGTAGTATGATAAGGGAACGCAAATTCCTCTTTCGAGTTTTTGAGCATCGAGAATAAGAAGTAACCTTACATTTAAATGGCCATTTTTTTTGTTGCGTTGGAGCTGAGTTTGGTGGGTGTTGAAATGGTAAACAAGATGTTACAATGCACAAATGTTTGAAAATCAAAATATATACAGACAGATGGACATTAATTTTTTTATATATAATATTAATTTCATTTTGAAGGACTTATATATACCAGTACCATCAAAATCAAAATATCTAATAATAATACTTATCCAAAATGTCAATTCGGCTTGTGAAGTTGAAAGCTATCAATATACCAAAAACGTTACCGATTTCACTGATTCAAAACGTAACATTTCATGCCATAAACATATCTTACAATGAAAACGTGGGAAATGGAAGCATTCTGCTGAGAAAATAAAGGAATATGACTTTACGGTTATATAAAGCAAAATATCCGAAATTACGTGGAAGTGGATGTTAATGTATAAAAGAAACTCCAAAATGATCGAACCTTTTCACAGATTGTCAAATTTGGCCCCCTCGAACCATTTATATTTAACATTGATTCTTTGATTGCTTTGCTTGTCTCAACCTTATCTCTAACAGTAGTCTTCGTTTTTGCCATTTCCATGGACGGCGGATCAGCAAAATACCATGTTGTCGTTTTTAGCAACCATATTTCTGTTCCTTTCGTTCTCCAATTCGATCTCGATGACGTTATGACAATGCCGGAAAAAGTTCTAACCAGGCATCAAACGATTGTTCGTTTGGTCTCTGACATGCCGGCGGCTGATCATGCGGCCGGTAGTTGCTCAATCTGCATGGAAAGTTTGTGGAAGTCCGAAGGAGCTCCATTGAGGCGAGTTGCGTGTGGCCATGTTTTCACAATGATTGTATTACC